GTCTCGCCCCAGAGGTGGATGGCTTGCAAGGCGTGGCGTCCTTTCTCAAGAACAGAACGCAGGACTCACTGATGAGCTCTCTGACAGGTAGGGAGCCCTCTCCCCAGCGCGCTCCCCGCCCTCCTTGGGAACCCCGGACAGAGAAACCCAATAAAAGCAAATCCGCGCCTGGCCGCTGCCCCCGTCCTTGGGAAAGTCTACACCTGTTGGCAGAGGTGGGCACTGCGACGTGTACTGTACAGAAGGGAACAGCGGAGTCAGACAGAAGCTTGGCCAGTTCACAACCCAAGTGGGCCCTGAGAGTTCGGATGAGAGGAAGAGTCTCAAGTCTCCGTGTAAATCAAAAGCTAGAGCCAGGCGTGAGTGGTGCCCACCTGTGACCCCAACACTCAGGAGGCCGAGGCAGGGGGACAACCACGAGTTCAAGCCCAGCCTGGTCTACATAGCGAGTTCAAGACCAGCCTGCACTACATAGCAAGAGCTTGTCTTGAAACAACAGCAACAAATCAAGCAAGCGATCAGTCCAAAGCCAGAAATGATTAAGCTTGGTCAGACAGTCATGTCAGGCGCTGAGAGTGGGTAAAGCGGGCCTCTGCCAGTCAGCGTTGTTCAGACCGTGAAGGAAAAGTTCCTTTTGTGACACTAGGGAAGGAACCCGGGCCCTTGCCCTGAGCCCCATCCTCAGCCCTTTCTTTCCTTTTTATTTTGAGACAGGGTCTTGTAAATCACTAAACTGCCCAGGCTGGGCTCAGACTTGCAGTCTGCTGGGATTCCAGTCGTGGGCCGCTGTGCCTGGCTAGGAAAAGTTCTTGAAGGAAGGGAAAGGTGCTGTCCCCAGGGAGCTCGGGGACAGGAGGAGGAGCTGCTGTGCAGCAAAACTGTCCTAAGGCAGAGCCTCCTCCAGAGCAAGGTCTTCCTGGCTTCAATTCTGTGATGGCTGAGAGAGGATAGGAAACTGCAGAAGAAAAGTCCCTAAGTTGAGTCTCTTCCATGTGAGAATTTAAAAAATTTTTGCCAAATCTCATGGAGTTTACTTTTCGCTTTGCTGCTGTCCAAGGAACTATTAGGTAGATGTGACTGTTGGGGTGTTAGTTTGTAGTTCCTTCCCCTTGCTGGAGGCACAGAGCTGTCGCAGCACCTTCCTGGGATGACCCTTCACCCCCACCTCACAGTGCCACCACTGGGTCACATCGCAGGGCTTGGTGGCCCCAGTTTCCAAACAAGTCCCACTGCCAGTGTAGAAATGGCCTTGGACACAGACATGGATACTTGCAAGTGGTAGAGAAGACCGGGTAGGCTATCATAATGGAATAAAGAAGTTTTTGGGGGGAAAAAAAAGAAAAAAGAAAACGAATAGCCAGGCATGGTGCTGCCGGCCTGTAATCCCGATACTCGGGAGGCTGAGGCAGGAGGGTCGCCGCAAGTTCTGAATTACATAGCGAGACCCTGGCTCAAAAAAACTGAATAAATAAAACATTAGCGTTTCAAAATGCAATCAATATTGAAATGTTTATACTGTTTTGGTACTATCTTTGAAATCCAGTGTACATTTTATTTTTTCTTTTAGAGACGGGGTCTCAATATGTAGTTTGGCTGGCCTTGAACTCTCACCGATCCTCTGCCTCAGCCTCCTGAGTTCTGAGATTACAGGCAGGTACCACCACATCCAGCTCTGCAATCCAGTGGACATTTGATACCTGGAGCACATCTCGCTTTGGATGAACCCTTCCCCAGCACCTAAAGATCTCCTGTGCCTGGAGGCTACCATGCGTAGCAGTGCTGGCCTAGGTGCTACCTAGAGCCAGGGAGCTGGGCTGATGTCACGGAGGAACAAGCAGAGATAGAGAAAAGAGGACCTGAGTAGAGAGCATCTACACAGAAGAAGAGGAAACGGAGGCCTCAGGAGGGAGGCCTAGTTTGGGGCCAAGTGGGTCCCAAGGCGTCTGTGGGTTCTCCCAGGCTGTATGCAGGCTGAGTGTCCCTTACCTGAAATACTGGGGACTAGAAATGTTTCCTGTGTCCGAGTGGATTTGGATTATTTGCTCGGACAACCAGTTGAGCATCCCCAATCTGAAAATCTGAATTCCGAAAAGCCATGAGAAAGTCCTGGATTTCAGATGAGGGACCTTAGCCTGTATCTACCCAGCAGACTGTGCGTCAGGCTGACCTTGACTCTTCCGGGGAAGGGAAAAGGAACTTCTTTATCCCTGGCTTGCTGGAGGCCTCCACCCAGTGAGGGTCACTTTCTCTCCTCAGATGGGCCTCTGCTGGAAAAACTGGTGAACGTTAGGGAGCAAGTGATCAAGGAATTCAAGAAAGTTTTAAGATCCTGTGAATTAAAAGGTGCAGCGTGCTCTCCACCGAGCCCGTCTCTCTTTCCCCACTGACCCCTTTATGCCACTTTTTCCTCCCACATTTCTTCCTCCCCTCCCTTGGGACTCAGCCTTCATCTCTCCCAGTATTCCTAGCTCTCCTTCCTGAAAGTCATGCTCACCCCTCTCCTGGTCCCTCCCCAAGTGAATTCTCAAGTGCTGTCCTGACTTCACCCACTTCTGCTCTTTGCTCTTGCAGCCTGTGATCACAAAATTTGCCGCGAGTCCTGGATTTATCGTCTATCCCTCCCTTATCTGCTCTCATCCACTGTGTCATAACACGTATTCCACTGGGCACTTCCCCTCCCCCAAAGCCATAGTACGGAGGAATTCGCCTTTGTGAGGCCTTATAAAAATGGCTGCAACCTGCAAATCGTGCCTTTGGATCCTCAGGATAGGATCGGGTAACATATTGCGTCAAATAACGTCTGGATGTTGCTCTCTCACCTAAATAGAGAGTCCAGTGACTTTTCCAAATAGCAACTCCGGGACTCCCTGCCCCCGTACCATACCTTCTAAACTTCCTTCAAAAGGAGAAAATAAATAGAAATTCACACTGGAAGTTGTATGGCCAAGCCCGGAAGTGATACATCCATTATGTCTCTCTCCATTGGTTAGAACTATGTCACATGGTTTCAACAAGGTCACATGGTTGCAAGGGAGCCTGGGAAATGTAGTCTTCCTCTGCACTGGAAGAGGAGCCAGATGAGGAAGGCATCGTGCCAAGTAGTCTTCCTCTGCACTGGAAGAGGAGCCAGATGAGGAAGGCATCGTGCCAGTCTCTCTCTGGGAGCTCAAAATTAAGCAAAGAAAAGAACAAACTCGGAATTACTAAATGTTTAATTACATGTCTACAGGTGGAATGTTGGGTCAACTGGAGTACTGCTACTCAACTCTTCAATAATTCTACAGTAATTATTTATGTGAACTGTCAGTGCATTGTGTTTACTCTGCTGCACTTTTGGGTCCCCCAAAGTGCAGGAGAGCCAAGAAGACCCCGTCTCCTCTTGCCCTTCTTCCTTTCCACCGCTTGCCAGTTCTCTGGATTGGCCCTCATCCTACTTCTTCCTTTCCCATTGTCTAGAGTTGCTCAAAGAAGAGGTCTTGGACTGGTTGCATTGCCAGAAAACCAGTCCCAAAGGTGTCAAAGCCAAGTGCTGCTTCGGTAAGCCTCGGGGGCAGGGGAAGCCCAGGGAGAGGTGTCTGAGGGCCGGACACCACCGTGCCCGGTGCCCTCGCCATTTGCTTACAGTGGCCCAGACGTGGCTTTCACATTCTGAAACCCACCGTCACTTCTGTTAAGTGGGAAGCACCTTCTGGAGCTTAACAGCACCCTCATATCACGATGGCAAGTGCTGGAAAAGACTTCATTCCTAGCCGTTGCTGTTCCCAGGACGCCCAGAAAGATGCGCTCCATTCATTCATCCGCTCAGAGAATGCACACAACGAGCCCACACTGACCCGTCCAGACTGGTGCGGTAGCAGCGCTGGGCCACTGGTGCCGCCCCTGCTCTCCGCCGCTCACCCCTGTCATTCAGATCTCAGACCTCTCAGAGCGGCCTCTCCCACCGGTCTGTAAAGACGCATTGTGACCAACCTGTGTCCACAACCTTCCACCTTGGCCTCACCTGTTTTGTTCTTTGCCAGAAGAGATCACAGACGTCAGGCAATTCCACCCATTCGTAGTGCTGCCTCTGAAAACAAGGGCGTCTTTTACATAACCACAGTGCCATTCCCGTATCCATCAAATCTAAGGATGATTCTGCAGTTGAAAAGAATTTAAGTCCCTCTATCAGCTCCCCTGTCAACAGATTTTTTTTTTTTCCAGGACTGGGGTTTGAACTCAGGACCTTATGCTTGCAAGGCAGGTGGCTGCACCACTGAGCTAAATCCCCAGCCCCACAACAGAATATTTTTCACAGCTGCTTTACTCAAATCAGGATTCAGTAAAAGGCACATAGCTCAGTTTAGGGTTTTCTATTTTATTCATTTATGTATCTGTCTATCATTATTTATCTATTTCTATTTATTTACTTTGGAGACAGGGTGTTGCTGTGGAGTCCAGGCTGGCCTCCACCTCACAGCGATCCTCCTGCCTCAGCCTCCTGAGTGCCGGGAATGCAGGTGTGCATCACCATGCCCCGCTTTCACTTTAGTTTTAGATCTAAGTTTCTCTTTCCATGTTTCCCCTTCTGTGATACTGGCTAGTTGAAGAGCAGCAGTAAGTCCTGAAGATTGGCCTGTTTTCAGACTCATCTGTCTTCTCTTCCGGATGGAGTTGAATAAGAAGTACTTTGAGCACCATATAGTGCCCTGCCCTGCGGACCAGCAGGATGGGAGATGTTTCCAGCAGAGTCACATTTTAATGGGGCACGGGGTTAGACTAGGCATTCTCACCTCCGCCTGCTGACACGCTCGTGCGCTGGGGGTGTCTGGTGCCGCCCCTGGCCCTGACCCATCTGATCCCAGCTGTGACCATCAGAAATGCGGGAGGCACCTCCGTGTGCCCCGGCCTGGGGGTGGGGGACTTTCTCGGATTTACGATGTAAGCTAGACATGAACAGATACACCGACTAATTCCAGAATGTAAAAAGTACCCTAAGGAAAATGGAAGCAAACTTAACAGAAAGTGTCGGGGGCAGCGCTATACTTGGTTACATTACAGAGTGCAGGGGCGGGTGCCCTCTCTGAAGACGTGAGCTTTGCGATCGGAAGGAAATGAGGGACAGGAACAGTGTGAATGACAAAGGGAACAGCATTGCAAAGATCAAATGTGAGGGAGCAGAAAGAGGAGAAGCGGATTGGCCGGGCTAGAGTGAGTGAAGGGAGAGAATGGGTGGAGAGCACTGGGGCAGCTCCAGTGTGGGCCGGGTCGCAGGGAACAGATGGATAGGTCGGCTTTGGGCTTCTTATTCAGAGATGGGAGCCTTGGAGCTGCCTGACTCCAATCACAGGCGGGACCTGCGCTTTTGTTGCGTCGCTGCTACCCTCTGGCGGCCGTATGAGGAAGTGCAGGGGATACCTCAGGGGTTCCCTTGAGAAAAGCAGGAGGCTGGACCAAGAAGGTCTCCACAGAGTGGATTGGGTTCTGGTTGTAGCCAGGACGATTTGCTGACAGAAGGAAAGCGCTGGGGGTGCAGGAGAGTGGAAGATGCAGGATGTACTCCCCTGGCTCCCTTCAGGGTGAAGGGAGGTGGGTAATGAAGGGTGGAGACCTGAGCCCCGCTTCCCCCACTGGCCCCGGTCCACGGGCGGCCCCGCGCAGCCCTGGAGTTCGAGATGATCGGCAAACGCCCGCGGACCCAGCGCCTGGTGGGCATCTTCATGGTCGTGTTTCCGGCTCTCTTCTTCTTCTTGGTCATCCTGATCTCGTGCATCATCCCTGCCCCTTCCCGGGTCTCCCGGGGCTTCCTGGGTCCCCTGAAGATGGCACCTCCCAGACGGGCCCCTTCGAGCTTCCCCGGTCACCTCGTTCTCTCTCTGTTTGTCCCTCCCTCCCAGTTCCCGTCCTTTCCATGTCACTCTTTCTCCTCTTTCCCCCACCCCGTCACTTCCCAAGACCCTCAGCGGTTTTCCCTTATTGACTGCTTCTTCCGTACCGAATACTACGTTAGATCTGGTAAATGTGTTGGTATAAGAACAGCCATCTTGGAAGTTTGCTTTCATGGTTACGTTCTCTTCACTGTGGTCGTCCTCACCTCCTCTCTCCCGCTCCAGGGTTTCCTGCCTCTGCCTGCTTGTGGCCCCCCAGCCCCTTGTCCGGCCCTTTCCTCCCCTTGCTGTTTTTCTCAGTCTCTGAATCCTCCTCCTCCTCCTCCGGTCACATCAGCCTCAGCTCCCTAAGACGTCAGTTCCTCCATATTCAGAGAAGGGATCATCCTGTCCCCTCGCGTGACAGCCAGGTACCAGTGGTCACACTTAACAGTGCTTGGCACGAGGTGGGTGAACACTCAGTGGTCAGCTCTCACCATGAGCTTTTCCCACTCTGTCTTCTGCTTCTCTCCTGACTCTCTCCATCCCTGCATATCTGTTCCCTAGAACGTCTGCAACCAGTGACCACATCTGGGTGTCTAAGAGCAACAGAAATTTATTCTCTGAGCTCTGGAGGCCAGAAATCCAAAGTCAGGGGCTGCGGGTCGGTTCCTTCCGGGGCCCCTGGGGGTGGATGCATATTCCATGCTGCCTCTGGCTGCCTGGTGGCTGCTGTGTCCTTGGCGTTCCTCAGCTCTGTCTCTGCCTCTGCCTTCACACAGTGTTTCTTTCTGTGTGAGTCCTGGGCTTCCTCTCCTTTCTCTTAGAAAGACAGCAGACTTTGGATTTGTGGCTCAGCCTAAATCCAAGATGGCCTTGTCTCACCTTAATTTAATTGCATCTGCAAAGACCCTATTTCCAAATAAGCTCACGTACACACGTTCTGAGAGCTGGGATTTGGCTAGATCTCCTGGAAGGGATACAGTTTACCTGCTACACTTGCTTCTCAACGTCTCTGTCCATTTCAGACTTCCTTTTCGCTTTGAATCTATATTCTTCTGTTCCCTCACTCCCAACGCCAGCTTTTCTCTCCTCCCTCCAGTACCTACATGGATTGGCTGAGAACTCAGAAACCCCTGATGTCAATGGCTGAGCCAAATCAGGCCAATGATTGGCAGGAAGTTTGAGGGAGGGTCATTCACCCTGGAAGGGCCTGAAATTCCTTCCTAACCTCCAGGCTTTTTTTTTTTTTCCTTTTCCTTTGACCAGGGCTTGTACATACGGCAAACCCGAAAACTTCTGCTGCGATAGGCCTGTGGCTTTGGAGCTTGTAAGGGGAAAAGAAAATAAGTTTAATAAAATCTGTGATAAATTCTTCAACGTCTCTTGTCAGTTTCCTGGGAACCCTCCCCTCAGTTGATGTCCAGCAGTTTTGCTAACAACCAGGTGCTCCTGAAGGGTGGAGACCAGATCTTCATCTGTAGAAACCAATTATCCTAATTTAAGATTGAAGTCATTCATATCAGCAGGACGACCTTTCATGAGGGTTTCAAGGGACGGCCATTCCTCTTGTGAGAAGACACTGACCTAAAAGAGAGAGTGTACGGTGGTTATACAGAAGAGGAACAGCGGGGGTGGGGTGCGGACGCAAGTTTCCCTCTCGATCCGAACTCTGAATCTTTGTGTGTATCCGAATAGATTCGAATATATTTTCAAGTAAATGGAAATTTTGCTCCTCGATGAACCAAAATAGGGACCACGTAGACAGGATAACATGAGATGATTCTATTTTTCAACTTGCCAGCAGAACTATCCCTATCGAATTGAGCATTCAGATCGTGTATGAGGAGATGGGCAGAGAAGAGAAAAAGCTGAATTTAGTGGAAGATTTAGTATCGGCTTAGACCAGACAGTAAACGGAGGGAGAGGGGGCTAAAAAAATGATCCATACACCAAGACACTACACGCCAGGCGACAAGAGTTTGGTAGGTTTTACCAATATCTGGAAATAAGACCTTAAATATCTTATGGGTCTAGGTGAACAACCTAAAGTTTTCATTCATTGTGACAGGAATTAAAACACTCAGCTCCATCGAACAGTGATCTTCGCAAAAGAGCCCTGGTGTTTTCAAATCTTCACATTTTTCAAGATAACACGGACATTCAAACTTGTTTGTAAAATTTCTAACCAATGTTGGCAGCTATTGGATTTCAAAATACGCCTTGCTATCTCTGAGATGACGGGAAGTTGTGGGGCTGTGCGTTGGTTGTAAATTTTATATTGACGAGAAATGAGCAGAGTTTTAAATGTTGCTGTCCTCTCCTCGACTCCCTAATTATATTTTGCAAAATCCTTCGAGCCCGCTCAAGCTTCTGTTGCCATAGAAACTGGCCTCCGGTTTGTAAACCGTAGGAGAGTGTTTTGTAAACACGACTTTCGATTGGCTAAAACCTAGACTTCCCTGTTTCAGCCCCTATCTGTTGCCAAGACACCAGTCTTTCTAGATGCGCAGCCGAGCGCGCCTGGAGCGTCTCGGTTTTTGAAGAGGCAGCCGGCTCCCCCAGCAGAGAACTCTGGGAATGGTAGTTTCTAAACTCAACCTGCGCAGGCGCACTTCCCCACGCGGCGTTGGCAGCTCTTTTCCTTCCCGTAATACCGGAAAAGAACGAAAGAACTAGCTCCCGAAGTCGGGGCCATTTCGTCTCTGACCCAGTACTGCCTCCTCTTTCCCACTACCTGGATCCTCCAGCAGCCGTGGCCGTGACTGTAGACAAGGGTCGCTAGTCGCCATGGCAACGGCCCTCCGAGCGCATTTGCACGCCGATGTCACGTGACGGGCAGGGGCGTGGCTACCGCCGATGCAACTGCGAATCTTCGCTTCTTAGGTGCGCTTCGGGACCCAAAGGTGCTTTTTGTTTGGGTAGCGGTGAGCAGTGTTTTTGTTTAATATCTTTGTGCGACTGGTCCAGACGCTCCCTTAGCTTCTTGGAAATGGTCTGGGCTAAGTGTTCTGTAAACGGACAATTACACCATGCGAAAATTACAGTGTGATGGGAGCCCCCGATGAGCGCGGGCTGGCGCGGCGGAGACAGACACTTATTAAAGAATTACAACACAGCAGTTATCACCGTATCAGCGCGGACGCTCGAGTGTTCCTGTGGGAACCCAGGGAGGGAGTTGCCACTTGCAGCCGGGCTGGCTGGGAATGGGAGCAGATTTTCCGACGGCAGAGGCTGAAGCCAAGTAGGCGTTTTCCACAAGTGAGGAAGGGCAGAGTGAACGGCGGAATCACGCGGTGGCACGACTGTTTCTAGTGCTAGCAAAGATATCTCTGGCGTTTTCTGTCTGCTGTGTACTGTTACGGCGGCTTTACTTCCATCCATCTTTCAGATCTCATAACCCGACGAAGAGGGAGGAACTGAGGCACAGAGAGGCCTCAGTGAGCAGGATTAATGACTTCGCTATGCTGCCCTTGTTACGGGGTCCC